ACAAGGTGAAGAAGTTTCTTGACTGGGATTCAAAAAAATGAGAAATTTAATATGCCGATATGCGATATTTGCACTTTTCAGGAGTTCCAGTTGAGTTGCTTTGTCTAATTCAGAAAGGTAATGTATACGTGAAACTTTTGTCCCCCATGACAGTAAGACATATGACTGGTCACAACTTGCCAAACTGAGGATGTCCCCTTAATACATAATATACCTGTGTAATGGTGTGTCTGTGTCACTCTGCAGTTAAACCTCCAAATAACTAGTCGGTGGCGGGGTTTCTGTGAAGTGCTGTGAAGTCTGATTGAATCAAAACACATAATAAACATGGCTCCATAGAGACATCAAACTCAACTACACAAATCAGCTTCATTATAACTCACAAGATTAACAGACAAAACACTTGTCTTTTACTGGACACATTTTCCGCACTAATACAACAAGTTAATGTTATTACCACAAGCCTAAAGCATTTTACACAGCATAAATTATCCTATTGGCTAGCGAGAGTTTTTCTCATAATATTACTGTTGCATTTACAATGTGTCTGCTCAGAACATGGGGACTTATGTTGGTCATTGTCATTTATGTGTTAGTTTATAATTTACATCAATGGTGAATTTGGTGTTAGACTTCAGTAGAGCAGCTGTATTTCCTATGTCGTGGGTTCTATGTGAAAGTTCTTACAGTTCATTCATGCAAGCAGCTATTGGTTGAAATTGTGTGACACTTCACTGGCTCAGGGCTTAGGAGGTTAAGATTTCATGATTATGGTTAATTGAATCAATCATTGCCTTTCATCACTGTGGCAGCAGTAAGCCACAGTGGGAACATTACTGTAAGTGAAGTTACAGTAAAAAGACACAATAGCAGCACCCAATTAATGCGGTTAAAAAAACTAACACGTCACACTCAGAGCTTAATAGCATCATGATTAATGTGTTTACACTGACAGCCCGCATCTAAATATATCTTTTTAAATTGTAGTGAAGCAAAGCACGGCATATTTAATGTTCTATTTTTAACAACTTAATAACTGCTACAAAATGGCCACTAGACTGAAACACTTCTAAACACAATCTTCATTCAAACCAGAGTATCAAATTATATATTCTCTGCCTCTGACCCACAGGTTCTATAAAGCAGAAGTTACACCAGTGGTCACAGATGTGTCAGTGTTCATGGAAACACTCCTAAATGACTGCTTGGGAGGAATCCTTGATAACGATTCTGAGATGTCCTTCCTTGTACTGAGGGTACTGTTTCAAGAATCTTAATGACTGTATTTCCTGATTCTGTGATGAGTCAGCTCATGTCAGGGAAATTGTCTCAGGGGATTAGTCCCCCACAGTTTACTTTTTTTTCTCCCTAATCTCCAGGTTGTTGGTGTCATGGGTCAAGCCATGCAAGCTGTCAGTCCCAGCCTGATTTCCTCCATTTTGCGGTGTGCTAAGAGAACAGACATCCCATTATCAAACCAAAAGGCAGCTATACAGGCCTTTAGGATGATGGAAATTAATGATGAGGTACAATAACTTCACACAAACACATTTATTACATACTGTCGTTGTAGTGTAATGATAACCATGTAATATGTTATGGGATTTAACTGACAGATTGACTTTGTGACGTATTCACAAATGTGCAGTATGTACATTCTAATTTACCATTTGGTCAACCACAGGTCAGAAAAATTTTTTGGGAGGTGTACCAGGATGTTCAAAGCCCTATAGAAAAACGTGTAGCAGCCTACCTGATTCTCATGAAGAACCCAGACCGAGCCCTGCTTAGAGACATTCTAAATGGTTTGGCAAATGTGAGGGATGAGCAGCTCAAGAGCTTTGTGGTCTCCCACCTAAAAAACATCTGCGACTCCAGCGAGCCACAAATGCATGAGTGAGTATTTGGCCAGCAATATTGGCAAGTTAATTAACTGTAGGACTACAATAATATTCATAGCTTCTTAGCACATGCACATCTTTTCTATTGCAAAACTAAATAATAGAAAATGCATCACAGATATCTTATTATATAAACATAGTATCGCTGTATGCTACCCATATAGCTACCACATACAGACAAAGCTAGCACTTAACAGCTAGTTGGTAAAGAAATTTAACGCCCAGCAGCTAAAGAGCCAGCTATTTGGAGTTAGAGATCAAAACAGAGCTAGACTGAATATTGGTCCTACATTCATTAGGTGGCCCCAAAGACAAGTGAATGCTAAAAATGCTATGTTTCCATTGGAAATGGACAACTTCTTGCTAGCAGGTTAGCCATAGCAACATTTTAAGTGACAAAAACCTTTTTCGTACAGTCTTCTTGATTGGAGAAAGAAAACAGAAATGTTGTTTTGGCACTGTGTTATCTTACTACAACCTTCTTTATTCTCTTTACTCAAGACTTAAGAAGGACATTGAGTTGGCCTTGAAAGACCAGCTATCACCAACAAACAAAGTATTTGATGGCATGTCACACAACTACAAAAAAGACTCTCCCTTGGGCTCAGTGCAGAGTAACATCATCTTTAATGCCACAAACACCTTACCTAAGGAAGTGATGCTTGAGACCACTCTAAAGGTTTTTGACTACAACTATGACATCTTTGAGGTATGTCTGTAACACAATATTTCTTATATGTGATGAAAAAAGAAATTAAGTTTGTAAAGATTTTTAAACATTCATAATAACCCCTTTCAAGGTCAATGTTGAGGGAACAGGATTCGAACCAACAATTGATGCTCTCTTTGGAGAAAATGGTTTCTTTCCTAATTCCATCTTCAAAGTCATGTACTGGGCAGATGACAAAGCCAAGATGCTCAGAGAGGTTTTGGAGAGAACTGCCCCTCAAAGATACAGAATGAAGAGAGAGGTGAAATTATTTTTTGACACATCATACATGTTGTGCTTGTCTATGCTATCACCAGATAAAACCCTGCCTTCCTTTCTACAGTTTATTTGGTATGGAAGCGTCATTGTGTATGCATAGCTAAGATCTAATACAGACACTTGTAATATCAATCCAGGTCCCACAGGATCTCATGAAAGACATCGCAAACAGTGTCCAGAAGCTCATGGATGAAATCCGTTTCTCTCCAACCCCTGAAGCCATCGCTTATCTTCGGCTTTTGGGAGCTGAGATCGGATACATTAAGACCAGCGACTTGAGAAACATGGCTGAGACTCTGTCCATGTACTATGATGTTTTCATCAGGGTGCTTCCTTTAAAGGTGAGATCAGTTGTTTCCTAAAATGAATTCTGCAAGAGAATGAAACTGAAAACAAACAAACAAACAAACAAAAAACACAACCATGCATTTTTATTGAGCAAGGGTTTCTTCTTCTTTTGGGATAAAAAGCCTAACAAATTTAACCGAAATTATCCATAATTCTGAGAGTCTTCTTTTATCACATTTAATTGCTTTAGAAAGAAGCTCCAGTTCGTATGTAGCTGGTGCATGATTACATTAACATTAGTTAGTTATTTGGTCAGGTTAACAAAGTTATTTTCAATCAATCAATCAATCAATCAATCAATCAATTTTATTTATAAAGCCCAATATCACAAATCACAATTTGCCTCAAAGTGCTTTACAGCATACAACATCCCTCTGTCCTTATGACCCTGGCAGTGGATAAGGAAATACTCCCCAAAAAAATCCCTTTACGGGGGAAAAAATGGTAGAAACCTCAGGAAGAGCAAATGAGGAGGGATCCCTCTTCCAGGATGGACAGACGTGCAATATATGTCATACAGAACAGATCAACATGATAAACTAACAGTAATCCGTATGACACGAGACAGAAAGAGAGACAGAGACAGAGAGAGATGCAGGACAGACAGTAATGATAATAGCTTACAACAACATTAATGATATTACAATAATAATTATAGCTATTGTGGTACAATATGTTGAAAGTATATATTAATATCTGATAGTATACATATGTGACAATAATCATATGTGTAACAGCAGCAGGAGGCATCACGCACGGCAGCAACACAACCAAACACGTCACACTATCCAGGCACCACTGCGATAGTGCTTTGTAGCAGAATTTGATGGTCAGTTTTGTCAAATGCTGCACTAAGATCTAATAAAACAAGTGCAGAGATGAGTCCTTTCTCTGAAGCAATCAGAAGATCATTTGTACTTTTAATTAATGCTATCTCAGTATTATGATGCATTCTAAATCCTGACTGAAATTATTCAAATAAATTATCATCATAATTACACAGCTGGTCTGCGACTACTTTCTCAAGGATCTTTGAAAGAAAGGGAAGATTAGATATTGGTCTATAGTTGGCTAACACCTCTGGATCCAGGGTGGGCTTTTTTAGAAGAGGTTTAATTACAGCTAAGGGCTAAAGGAATACAAGGCTCAATAGAGCTGTGACTCTCAGTCAGCCTGGCTACAATGCTGAAAAGAAACCTGGGGTTGTTCTTATTTTATTCTATTAATGCTGAGTAATAGTTTGCTCTGGCATTGCGGAGGCCCTTCTTATACATTTTGAGACTCTGTTCCCAGACTAAACAAGATTCTTCGAATTTTGTTAATCACCAATTCCTTTCAAATTTTCACAATATTAGTTATAATGTTTGGGTTTGAGAGTGTTGTTCGTAGCGAGCCTGCAGCGCTTTTGACAAGATGATCAATTCGGGAGAGTTTAAAGTTGGCATGGGAAACCTCTGTTACAGAAGGACATGGTATTAAATTTAATGTCGATGGAATCTTTGCCTTAAATTTTGCGACAGCACTATCTGATAAACATCTAGTATAGTAACTGTTGCTGAGTGGCGTGTAATGGAATAAAAAAAAAACAAAAGTTATTAAATAATGGTCTGACAGAGAGGGATTCTGTGGAAAGACGGTTAGGTTATCAATTTCAATTCCATATGTCAGAACTAGATCGAGGGTATGGTTAAAACAGTGAGTGATAAAAGTACACCCTGACCGAAGCCAATGGAGTCTAATAATGAGATAAATGCAGAAGCCAGGGAGTCATTATCAACGTCAACATGAATGTTAAAATTAAGCAATATCACACGAGAGGGAGTGATGTTGTACTGTATATCATCACGGCTGTGATTCGGTCATAGGCACGAGGCTGCAGGCAATTACAGCTGTGACGATATACAGTACAACATCACGACCTCGGGTGTGATATTGCTTTTGTACAACAGTTCAACAACAGCTTAAACAGCAATGCTGAGTAAGGAAATCTTAACAAAAGGTGATGAAATAAATTATTTAAGTATGTTATGTAGCTCCGCGAAAAAAAATAGTTCCCCCAGTCTGTTGATGAAACGTTGGCAAACCTGGATGTTGGCATGGCCGGATTCTTCTTCCACTCTCCCTCATCCTCATCAGTACCTCATCAGATGATCATTGATATTTCAGTATATATGTAGTGTATAGCTGTAGTGTCAGTTTGCGTCAATGTAGCGAGTGTGACAGTTGGTTAATTAACGGTTGTATTTATATTTATAACACATGTGAGCGGAGTGACTTTACTGTTACATGTCCCAGTGATGTCGTGCTCTATATCAGCACTCATGGAATGCTTCATCCAGTCAAATTACTTGATCGCAGCTAACAATTGTATAATCACCTACAATAATAACTTTATGTGATTTAAGAACTAAACTGGATAAAAACTCTGAGAATTCATATACTACTTCAGAATACGGGCCAGGAGCACAGTACACTATAACAAATAAAAGTGGCTGTGAGGTTTTCCAGGTCAGATGTAAAAGACTAAGAACAAGGCATTCAAATGAATTATAATCTAGTTTAGGTTTAGGGCTGATTAACAGACTAGAGTTAAAAATGGCTGCAACTCCCCCTGCTCGGCTGCTGCCTCGAGGAATGTGGGTATTATTATGACTGGGAGGAGTGGATTCATTTAGACTGACATATTCATCTTGACACAGCCAGGTTTCATTGAGGCTGAGTAAATCAATATGCTTATCTGATATTAATTTGTTTTCTAACACTGCTAACACATTTAATTCTCCTGTTTTGTCTTTCTATCACAGAAGAGGTTTTTAATTGTTATTAGGTTGTTATGCACAACTTCTTTTTGTTTAATTTTACATTTAGATAATTTAGATGGTCGGGGGACAGACACCGTTTGTATAAAACTATGGGTGGGTAACTGCACTAGAAGTTCAGAGAAGCGTGTAGGACTGGTCTCAACTCTGGGTTGTCAGGGTTTTGAATTACTAATAAACATGGCCAGGTTTCTAGATATGTGAGCAGCTCCATCCAAAGTGGGATGAATGCCGTCTCTCCTAATCAGACCAGGTTTTCCCCAGAAAGTTTGCCAATGATTAACGAAACCCACATCGTTTGCTGGACACCACCTGGACAGTGAGCGATGAAATGATGACATGCAGCTAACATCTCATCAGTGGTTCGATTTGGGAGGGGTCCAGAGAAAACTACGGAGTGCGACATAGTTTTAGCATATTCACACACCGAGGCAACATTCATTTTTGTGACTTCCGATTGGTGTAACCGGGTGAATAACAGTCTTATTAAATCTATGTTTAGCCTCAGCCAGCAGTTTTAAATTTGACTCAATGTCACCCGCTCTGGCACAAGGGATACATTTGACTATGGCCGCTGGTGTTGCTAACCTCGCGTTTCTCCAAATAGAGCTGCCAATGATCAGCGGGTTCTCCTCAGCGGGTGCGTCGCTGAGTGGGGAAAAACGGTTGGAAACATGAACAGCCTGGTGAACCGTGGGCTTCGGCTTGGAACTACGCTTCTCCCGGACAGTTACCCAGCCTCCTGGCTGCACGGGGGTTACTGGGGGACCGCTAGCAGAGGCTACACTATGTGGCTCTGCACCGGGTACAGGGGGCTGGCTAACTACTGCAGCTACCAAGTGATTTTCCATGGTGCGGAACCGTGCTTCCAATTCACTAAGCCTTGCCTCCAATACAGCAAATAAACTACACTTGTTACATCTACCACTGTCGCTAAAGGAGGCAGAGGCATAACTGAATATCTGGCACACAGAGCAAGAAAGAGCAGCAGGAGAAGGAGAAATGTTAAGCTAATGTAGCTAACAAGGTAATAACGTGCAAACAACAGCTAAAATTAGCAAGAAAGTTGTTAAAAATAGGAGAGCTATAAGTGCTTAAACAGAACTAGTGTGGGTTAAGACATTAAGTAGATGTTAAGCAAGTGAAGTGAGGAAAAACAGAAAACAAGGTGGTAGAAGTTCACTAGAGCAGCATAGAGACGTTATCACAGAAACACCGGAAATGACACAACACGCTTACCGCAGTACGTCAGTATATAGTATATGTCATATATTCATTCAACCTTTTTTGTTTTCTTTTCAACAGGCCTTTTTGGCATGGACATCTGGCACTGAAAATGAAGTCTTTGCCCACTATATCTTCATGGAGAATGCCTTCTCCTTACCCACTGCCACTGGCTTCCCTTTGAAGTTCTCACTGGCTGGTGTGTTTGCACCTGGTGTCAAAGGAGGCCTGACTCACTCACCTGCTAACTCACTGGTAATGAAGTTAAATATGTTGTAAAATGTGATAGCTTGTAGACATGGGTGAGAACTTGTAGAATAAAAGTCTGAACTTGTATGTTTGAAATTCATACACCTGTGCTCTGAATGTAATGTCACAGAATTTTTTTTCACAATAGATTAATATTTATGAAAATAAAATGAGAACTACAAACTTTTGAGTTTCAGTACAACCAAGACTCAGTGAGTACAACCTCTCAAACCGGTTGTTAACATGTGCTCTCAATTTGTAAAGATGAGCTCTATTTTGTACAGTCACACAGCAAGGTGTCAAAGTTTTTCCCCTTCCCGCGGGAGTTGTATGTTAGCAGAGCTGATGTCCTAAAATAGACGGGTCAGGGAACTATCCCTTTAAGGCTTAAGTCCCAACCAATTGTGCCACCGTGCAAAACATAGCACTGGTGCCTAGATCACAACACATAGTATCTTTTATAGTATCACCAGAATAATTTACAACATTAATGGTGCCCCTTGGTGAGGCCTATATTGTTGTTCCCAACATAAATGGTGCCTCCGTATGATGCCTAAAACTGCTGTTCCCAACATAATTGGTGCCTCCGTATGACACCCAGAAATGTTGATCTCAAACTTTGCTGTTTCCGTATGACACCCAGAAATGTTGATCCCAACATTTCTGGGCGTCATACGGAAACAGCAAAGTTTGAGAAGTCCGACAATGAGTTACAGGCTGAGACACACTGCATGGAGCTGCCTGATGGCACTAGGATCAACAGAGTGACAGAGTGCAGATGATATGCAGAGATTTCCGAAACTGACAGTAGAGGGCAACACCACAACATGACGCTGAGACAGGAGCAGAGCAGAGTGGCAGAGGTGTGAGGACATGACTCTAGTTAGCGTCTCAATAGCGGTGAAACCACGTGGCTAGAACCTTCCTTGTTACAGCATTGATGAAACCACCTCTTAAAAAAAGAAAAAAAATCACTCATCATTGATTGATAGATCTGTCACTTTTGGTTACCTTGGGCCATTATAATAAAGGCTTGGGTAACCCCTTCTCTAACAGTGTTGGGGGTACCCCCAACACTACAAAGTAACGCGTTACCAACAAAAATGGCTTTTTTCAGTAACGAGTGTAAGTCACTACTGTCCCTAAATGCAGTAATCACATTACAGTTACTAATCAAACACTTAAGTCGTTACTTGTGTTACATAAATTCATCATTAGATCTTCCCCTTACTTATGAGTTAGTGACGATGGGCTTCAGGCTGTTGCCAACGGGTCGTCCTCCGTGTCCAGCCGGTCAGCGGCGAACACAGATGCGGGGACGGGCCAGAGGATGGGAGAGTTTCTGCCGCAAACAAGCACCAAGACACAGGGAGACATGGGAGCAGCTTCCTGTGTTTACAGCAGATAGCAGGAGTGAGGACAGACATCTCACTCTGTTACTCTGTGGTGCACACTTTGAGTTTATAATTGTAACGTCCGTTGTCCTACTAAGTATTGATAACACACTTAGTATTTTACAAATTCGAGTTTTTTTATTTGATGAACGTGGTGCTGATATATCCCCCCAGCATAACAACTTCTCTGGTGGAAACCCTGCAAATACTTTAGGAGAGAAAGAGGGAAGTCTGCTTAGGGGCCTACCGTGTGAACCAGCTGTGCAATGAACAATAAGCTCTGGCCGGGCACCTCATGCAACAGCCTAATAGCATAATGGATTTCAGTCATCGCTACAATTACACTGATGGGAGAAAACATATGCTTTTATACAAGTGAGGGGGCACTGCCCCCTGGTGCCCCCTCGTGAAGCCGACTCTGGGTATATCCATCTAGGTTACTACACCTACCTTAGGATCGTTACACATATGTAAGGTTTAATGCTATATCTTTAACTGGCAAATTACGTGACAATGTATTTCAGGCAATTTTACAGAGTAACTAGAATGCAACGAGTATTGTAACTAATTACTTTCTCCAGGGAGTAGTCAAGTAAAGTAAGGGATTACTTTTTTCCTAAGTAATGTGTGATGTGTAATACATTACTTTTTTGAGTAACGACCCCCAACACTGTTCCCATATTATAATAATAATAATTATAATTATAACTAGAACTGCAAGCAGTTATGAACGGGGTCCAAGCCTCCCCGCGCAACTTGGCCTCCATGCCCTATGGAGCCCACGATAGTCAGCCCCAAAGGACGACAGGCTCGGGGTGATTGTCAGGACACAGGCCAACGTCTGAGCTCCAGTATTCACCGTAATGGGAAGTGCATTGGAAGTACTAAAGGTTGAATGTGTTTGTTGCAATAAGTCACGCCCACTTTGACCAATCATTACCAAGCCTTGCAGCTGGCCTCAGGACTGTCCCCACATCATGCTCACCAATTTTTGTATAAATCCGATCAACGTTTATGAAATGTGATATTTCTGGGTTTACAGCATCCACTAGCGGCCAATTTGGGCCAAATTTGGCACCAAGCCTCTGAAGAACCTCTGGAACAAGTGTGTTAAGTGTCATGTTGATATAATTTAGTCTGACAAAAATATGCAACAATATGTGTATTTTAGCTAGCAATTTTTTTTTTTTTGTTGTCAATAATTCCGGGCAAAAATCTTTTGATAACTTTAGATCAGGTCCATCTTGAGAGTTGACCTGCCAAGTTTCATGCTGTTTGGGCAAAATATGTAGTTCGAAAAAGTACGTTTTGGATGTGTTGTGACTTAGCGAAAGAAATGTGCAGCGGAAGTGAGCGGGGCCTGGTAAGGCCAGCTCTATTTAGGGAATGTGTGGATATAAAGTTTATGAATGTGTGATTTAAAATGTGGACCTTAAAGGAAAAACGCGTTTGCATCTGTTTTAGCGCCACCTAGTGGAGTATCTGCACAATTTTTGATGTGATAGGTCTGTGTCCTACTCTATATGTACTCTGTAAATTTCACAGTGCTTAGTACAATACTTCAGCTGAAATAAAAGTTTGTATTTCATCTTGTAATAAGCCATGCCCACTCTGACCAGTCATGACCACCTTCAATACATGGCCTCAGGAATGGCCCTACATCATACCCACCAAATTTAATAAAACTCAGTGTAGCCATTTAGGAGATATAAACTTCCCATGTTTATAGCGCCCCCTAGTAGCCAATGTTTACCAACTTCAGTTCACACCCTCATAGTCACATACTAACCCAGGGTCTTAAGTTTGGTTTTGATAGCTTTTAATTTGACAAAGATACAGAACAGATTGCATTTTTATAGCTAGCTACAAAAATTTGTTCATTAATAATTCACACATTTTTTGACCGAGCAAAATTCTGTTGATAACTTTAGATCAGGTCCATCTTCTGAGTCTAGGTGCCAAGTTTCATGAAGTTCGGTTAAAATCTCTAGGAGGAGTTTGAAAAAGTAGGTTTTGAAGTTTATGCAATTTTTGGATGGATAAAAGTTGGGCGGAAGTGGGCATGGCCATGGTCAAGTGATGCAGTTCCATTCAGGGAATCCATGGATGTAAGACTTTTGAATGTGCCACATACAGTGTGGGAGTTATCAAAACGCGTTTGCCTTGATTGTAGTGCCCCCTGCAGGCGCACATATGTATTTTCTTGCGACTTAGGTCCCTGCAGGGGTCTGGACCAACCCTCCAAATTGCACCACCCTCCCTTACACGGTGTAGCCTGCAGCACCACTTTTATTTACGGAAAAATAATGATATGTATAATAATAATAATTAAAGCTGCAAGCAGCTGTGATCAGGCCCTCGCTCCCCCATGCAACCACGGGGGCCTGAAGCACACGGGCTGTGGCGCGAAGCGAGAAGGGAGAAAATCCCTGGCAGGAGCGAAAAAATGCAATGTTTTGTTTATCCACCAGGGGCACTGGGAGTGTAACTAAATGTGTGCAGGTGTGTCCAGGGGCGCACCCTCATCACACATGTGAAGTTTCGAGCAAATCGGACAATGTCAATGTATAATAGGGCATTTCCTGTTTCCACAAGGGGGTGGGATGAGCAAGATTGCCTACGAGCATATGGAGGCATTGAGGGTGGGGCTCTTTTCATGTACAGAAATTTTGAAGCAGTTTGGATGAAGTCTGTGGGAGACAGAGCTGCTTCAATATGCATGGAGATGCATCAAATATGGTGGTGCCATGGAGGCCACACCCCTTGACATAGAGAAAACCTTTTAATAACTTTTGATCAGCATGGTCTCTGGATGATCTGTAAAAAAATTGACGTCGATTGGATGAAATCCCTAGGACTAGTTCGTTAAAATACAACATGTGGAAATCACGTCAAAATGACAAGTCAGAATCAAAATGGCTGACTTCCTGTTTGGAGTAGACCATTGGTGCCAGAGACTTTTATGTGCGTCTGGACAACATACACATGTGTACCAATTTTCATGTTCCTACTCCAAAAAAACCCTATGGGGAGGGATTTTTGAAAATTTCAAGGGGGCGCTATAGAGGCATTTTGTCCCCCCCATGGGCGACGCCCCTATCAGATGCAAGAGCTCGCCATTCTTGACCTGTGTATCAATTTTCATGAGGAGACAGAGACAGACAGAACACAGAGAGACCTGTTTTAGTGGAGATTTAAGTCCTCGAACAAGTTCTTCCCATTCCCAAACTGTTGGTCCAATCATGAAAATAATGTGATGATGAGAGAGATAAAGTTATACAGAAGATCTGTTTAGTAGCAGTTGAGCTGTCATGTGTGCGTCTTTAAAGCCGATACAATTAATGGTGTAGGAGGAGATGTTTTTTTTAAGAGCATGCTCCAGGCAAAATCTTACTTTGAAAGGTCAAATAGCTCACTTCCTGTTGGAATTAGGTCATGGGTGTCAGCGCGTGATTTGTAAGTCAAACACACCAGTTTTGGTTTGATACTTCTACGACATTCCTACGGGCTGCAGTGGCCAGTTTAGTGCACCTAGGTGGCGCTAGAGAGCCCATTTTGGCACTTTAGGGGTTGATAATGTGTATTTGCTGTTTCAAATGAAGATTCTGCTGCTGTAATCTGTCCTTTAAAGATTGTGAGACACACAGACAGAGAGAGCCATGTGTGCGTGTCTGTGTGTGCAGTCGTTGTCATGGCGATTAATGACTTGCCTGCACTTGAGGGGCACACACAGAGCTCATGAGAGAGCAGATCAGCAAAGGCTGTTTATAATGCGTTTTAACTCCTCGAACAAATTCTTGCCATACCCAAACCATTGGTCCAAGCAAGAAAATAAAGTGATTGTGAGAGACAGCCACGTCTCGTGAACGCACGTGTCGTGTTTTATATTTCTAGAGTCAATAATGTGGTCACCGGAGCGAGATTAAAATGTGTTGCACCCCAGCTGTTTCCAGAAATTTCTCCTCTGAGTTTACATGGGAGAGAATGAGAAAGAAATCGGCACTCCCTTCGCTTTGGAGCCACTCAGCAAAAATGTGTATGTTTGAGAGATTCCATGTCAACATATCTGTGAGCTGGACAAATTTTCCTACGTTTTGTGGTATAAATTGTGTCTGTACAGTGAAAATTGTGGCCATGGCAGCGAGTTAAAGACGAAAGTTTTAGACGATTTTTAGAGCCCTCTCCACTCTAGCTCACAGCATTCTGTGCAAGACACACCCATTGTAAAGTGAGAATTTCTCCACTTTTGCTCATGGTACTTTGAGAGGCACAGATGAAAAACGGTAAAAGATATGAAAAAGATGAAAACATGAGTGAATAGATGAGACCTGTGGCAACATTTGAGAGTTGGAATGGAGTCTGTAGCACAAAGTATGGAGACGCTGTAAATGCTAGAAAAAGCCTTAAGATTGGTCTCTTTCTCCCCCCTGCTGCCATTCATTTCCTATGGGACAGCTTTCGAAGATCGCCAGGACGTTTTTCTGACATCTCACCTTATGGAGCCCATAAAATCCAAACTAAGCGAGTAATGAAAAAGTTACGAATAACTTTTGATTAGAACGAGTTGATCTGTCATCTGTGCAAGTTTGAAGCCGATTGGATAAGCGGTGTATGAGAAGAAGATTTTTTAGGAAAGGCAGTTTTAAGGCAAAATCTTACTTTGAAAGGGCAAATAGCTCACTTCCTGTTGGATTTAGGTCAGGGGTGTCAGCGCGTGATTTTTAGGTCTTCATGAGACGAACACGCCACTTTTGGTTTCATGTTTCTACGACGTTCCTACAGGCCGTGGCGGCCATTTTTGTGTGCCTAGGTGGCGCTAGAGAGCCCATTTTGGCACTTTAGGGGTTAATGTCATGATTTTCTAAAATTTTTCACCGGTTCTGATGTGCGTGCCAATTTTGGTGAGTTTTTGAGCATGTTTAGGGGGTCAAATTCCAGTTCAAAGAGGCGACGGGAGAAAGAATAATAATAATAAACGGAGCAAAAACAATAGGGTCCTCGCCTTCAGCGAGGACTGCTCTGTGAGCAGTCCTCTGCCTTAGGGCTCGGTCCCTTATTAAAGCTGCAAGCAGCGTTTGGCGGGACTTCGCACTCGCGCCCATTTCGGGCCCCAGCTTATGTCGTCACTGTGAATTATTTCGAAATATCAAACATGTTGCCACAAACATCAGAAAATCCTTACAGAGCTGAACGTTTTGATGTTTAAATGATTTCTGTAGCTGTAGGCATGTAGAAGTGATGTCACAATATGCAAATTAGATGAGCGAATTTCTTCCCATCAGATTTATTTTGAGGAAGAGAAAACAAAAACAGCACAAAACAAAAGAAATCTACTGTGTAAATATGTTCAAAATGTTGTTTTACTGAGATGTATGAAATCCAATATGGCCGTCGCCTAGTGACGTCACAATATGCAAATTAGATGAGTTAATTTACTCCCATGACAAACTTTGGGTCATGATGAATATTTTTCTCATTTACAGTATGCCTTTATCTCTCACCACTTTCAAGCCACAGCCTTTTGAAATGTTGAAATGAAAATGGAATATTTTCCTCAATAAACTCTGGCACCTAAAGGGTTAAAATGGAGATTGTGCCCATGTCATGTCTGCATGTAAGATTTAGACACACACACACCATGTTTCTGTGAGTTTGTGTGTGACAGCGGTTGCCATGGTGATGAAGTAAGTGCACCTGGCAGAAGAGCAGAGAGAGAGAGACAGAACACAGAGAGACCTGTTTTAGTGGAGATTTAACTCCTCGAAGAGGTTCTTCCCATTCCCAAACCGCTGGTCCAGTCATCAAAATAATGTGATCATGAGAGAAATAAAGTTATACAGAAGATCTGTTTAGCAGCAGTTGAACTGGTATGTGTGCGTCTTTAAAGCCGACACAGTAAACGGTGTAGGAGGAGATGTGTTTTTTTTAAGAGCACGTTTGAGGGGAAATCTTACTTTGAAAGGGCAAATAGCTCACTTCCTGTTGGATTTAGGTCATGGGTGTTAGCGTGTTATTTGTAGGTCGAACACTCCAGTTTTGGTTTGATCTTGATACGACATTCCTACGGGCTGCAGTGGCCAGTTTAGTGCACCTATGTGGCGCTAGAGAGCCCATTTTGGCACTGTAGGGGTTAATAATGTGTGTGTTCTGTTTCAAATGAAGTTTCTGCTGCTGTAATCTGTCCTTTAAAGATTGTGAGACACACAGACCAGAGAACCCTGTGGCTGTGTCTGTGTGTGCAGCCGTTGTCATGGCGATTAATGACTTGCCCGCACCTGTGGCAGACACAGACACGTCAGGAAAGCAGATCACCAAAGGCTGTTTATAAAGGGATTTAACTCCTCGAACAAATGCTTCACATACCCAAACCATTGGTCCAAGCATGAAAATAAAGTGATTTTGAGAGACAGTAAGGCACCAGTATGGAACACTTCCAGTTCACTCCTGTTAACTCTACACTAAAATATGTGTATGAATATGTTTATGACAAAGCATGAATCTTGGCATGAATTATATTATTTTTACAAACTGACATCATGATGCAGTTATTTTGGCATCCTATTGTATTGTATTGCAATTAAATCACAACAAAACCTGTTTATTTTGAATTCATACTGCTGTAGTACACCAGATTAAATCATCCAATGTGATTTACTGGATACAGTGAATATTTATTGATTTGACACACCAATTATGGAACTGCCACTCTGCAGCTGGGACAGAACGCCTGTAGTTGGTGTCCAACCAGGAAATCCTGGCACGGATCTTAGCTAGCAGGTCATCAACTGGGTACCGGATAGCCTCCGGTAGTGCTGGAAGCATGAGTCATCCAGACAGAGTTCCTGGAGAAGGCTGCAAAATTCACCAAGCTGTGTGCGCTTCCACAGGATATTATGGAGCCACATGATGGCATTTGTTTTTCCTATGTGTTTGGGACTACCACAATAGGTACAAAGCAGCTAACTCTGTGATGTCAGACATGGTTAATGACAGAAAGAAATGGTGGAAAGAAACTTTCTTGATATTTATGGGGATAAGCCCTTCCTCCTTCCAAACAATTGTCACGCAGTGGACTGGAAAAAAACACAAATGACCCCACATTCAAACTTGCGTGATCCTACAGTCAAACTTGAGTAACACATTGTGAAAATTTGCACTGCTCTCGGTGTGAGCACACATTTATAGTCAAGATGGCAATGAGGATAACCAAAATGGTAAATTATTAATCTCATTTAATGCCTAACTTTAGTGGAACTGAAGATATCAGATATGGAATTTATCTGCAGATCCTCTGATTCTAAATGAGACAAAACTTTTCTATGGATGCCAGTTTTTTTGCCACAGCGAAGGCTAAAATATGTCCTGCAATAAATGGTCAGGCTTGTTATTTTTAGCCTGGATGATTTCTGAAAAACATGCAGCCCTTACTGGCCAGCTAACAGGAGTGTGGAGCCAGTACTCAATGGTTTAAAACAGTCAATATTTTTTTCAGCAACTGTGAATCTCCACAACTAAGTGAGATCATTCAGCATACAGTCATAAATGTGCACATAAATATTACACTGATTGGTCCAGTTTGCGAGATTAGCTGGGAACAGACAGATACACACATTAACACATGCATACACTGATCTCGCAAACTGGACCCATCAGTGTGAATATTGTCTGAGTGAAAATGTATTTTTACAAGCTCACTTTAAAAAAACAAAACAAAAAAACAAGCTCTTGTGTTTTTGTGACTTCAAATTTAGATCACGTGTGTGAATATTTTAGTGAAAATTTAAACATACAAGTTCAGATCTTTGTTCAAGGGTCCTTACATCATATTTTGCAAATTCTTACATCAAGTCTACAAGCTCTTGCATTTTGCAACATATTTACCTTCATGGCTTCTCTTCATCTTAGTTTATATGTAAAATAAAGGGATAATTTTACTAAATGTCCTAACTGTGAATTGATGTGTACAGCTATTAAGTTGCATCCTTCTCCTTGCAGACTGACTTGTCCTTCATGCCTTCAGTTGGGCTAGAGATTATCACCAAAATGGGTGTGCACATTCCAGACTATGTGGAGGCCTGGACTGAGATGGACACTAATTTGTATCATGAGAGTTCCCTTAATGCTAAGGTCACCATGAGTAGAAACCAGATGCGACTGTCCATCCGTGCCCCTGAATCAAACACTCAGCTGTTCAGCATTAGGTCAGTGACAGCATTAAAACACCTTTAGTGGTTGCTAGCATCATGTTGTTCTTGCTCACCATTTCTCTTTCATTTTGAAATCCAGCAACAAGCTGCTGTCAGTGTCCTCTGGTCAAACACCAATAGTGCCATCCCTGGTGGAGGACCAGACTAACTCAGCTGACTGCCGTCACCTTTTCAGTGGTCTGAAATTGTGCACAATTGTGCAATACTCCAATGCTACTTCCATGGACCAGGCCCAATATTACTCCCTGACTGGAGAAAGCAGGTAAGTTAAGAAAGCATTTTTTTATTTTTTTAGTTTTAGTTTAAGAAATTAATATTTGGGTAGGTAATCAGTTACTGTAATTAATCAATATTTCAATTTCCCTAATGCAGTACTCCGAATAGTAAACAGACCTAAAGAGAGAGCTAAGATAATAGAACGTGTGTTGTTTTCTCAGGTTTGCAGTTGAAATCCAGCCAACAGGGGAAGTTTCAGAGTATACTGTCACCATCGCTGATGAAACGGTCAGAGAGGGTAAAAAAGATCGTCATAAGGTAGACTCGCTGAAGTTTACCCTGAAGGCAGAAGGTATTGCTATAAGATAATGTGTCTGTGTTTGTGTGTTTGTGCACATGTAAGGGGCCAGCCCACTATCCCTAACAATTGCATCCATACTGGACAATGCCACACCTCCTGATTGACATCCAGTGCTAATGTTGAGTGCCAAACCAGGACAAAGTGTGTTTTTTTCATGGCAAGGTGGACAATAAGGTTGCCAAGTTTTGCCAAGTAATTGGCATTTGTCATTGAACATAATCCTGGGTTTTGTGTAACTATCCCAGGTTGTTATGGGCATGTACTGGAACTGTACGGTCCAGAATATATAGATGTGCATCACAAGATTCAGCCCTTATTAATCACTACATTCTTGTACATGTAATAAGGGTATAATAAGTGATCTTATGATATTGATATAGGGACCTGCCCTAATAGATCTTGAAGCACCAGTTGCCACTTGTTGCCCAGCAGATGAACACTGACAAATGAATTTAATTCCTGCTGATCCTAGGGTATTATTCATCCGAGGCCACTGCATCTCTGAAATACAACCGCAACCAGAACACTCTCACCACTGACGTTGTAATTCCCAACTACAATGTGGAAGCAGGCATCAAGCTGGCTATAACTGACAGTGATGCCAAAGAAAAGAAGATGAGAGGTATCACCATTGATGTCACCAACAGAAACATCCCGCAACTGACTTTTGTTGGACGCACAAGGTACATGTACAAATCTTTAATTATTCCTAATGATAGATAATGCTAAAGTTTCAACTGTGCTGTGTGCTTTCTTTAGACTATTTTGTTTTAGCAGGGAATGTATGATGAGAACATCCCCTGACATGCAAATAATTCTGAAACTGAGTTGCAGTTCTAAATGCCCTAGTTTTAAATGTAGACTTGACATGATGAAGAAAGCCATGCTGCAACTCCTACTGGTCATTCCATCTCTGAAAACCAATGCCTCCATCACTGCAACCCTGAAGAGGGATGAGGATGTGCTCATGGACTTGGAGACACTCATCAACCTCCCTGAGACATCCTTCCAACAGAAAGCTTTCCTCAAATACAGTAACTGTCAGCCATCACTCACAGCTTTAGCACAGATGACAGATGAACAAAATTCATGAATTTGTATATTTGCGGATGCATTTGGATTTTCTCTCAACAGGTGATGACAAGTTTGTGGTGGAACTGAAATCTGATCTGAATTCAGAGATTCAAAAAGTAATCCCAAATATGGAGGATCATCATAAACAGCTTCAAAACCTCAGTGATCATATCCTGGACCAGAAAGTGGCAAAGACTGATATGAAACTGCGTCACATAATCACCAAAGGACTTGAGGTAGTGCTGTTACATCTGACACTATATTTATTATGTTCTCAAAAGACCTTATGTTTCCAATTCTAATCAGTCTAATTTATTATATTTCAAAGAGTAAATAATATTGATGAAAAGTTAGCCCATTGGCCAGTGACATACTGACTAGTTTGGGAGTAGATAGTGCTACCATGTGGCCATTTATGAAACTTCATGTTGTGCACCATATTTAAAGGAGTACTCAGATTTAGTATTAGACTCTTATGACAGTGTTGGACTCGCTGGACAGATAGAAAGAAAAATTGATACAGCAGAACTAGTCTTTTTTATTACATGCATTTTCTTTAGTGCTTTCAAGCTGTACTGTTTTTGTTCTGGGTGAAATGTTATCTTCGTGTCATCCTGAAGGCAGGTGACATATGGTTAGACAAACTGATACCGCGCATACCCTATCTTGCTAACCTACGAAGTAAGAGGAGCATCTCAGATCTCACCCTGCCTGCCCTGCCTGAAAAACTGTATCTGCAGTTGTAAGTGTTTAATTAATAAAGTTTAAGAATATTACTTGCTTTAAGGTATTATCAGGCATAAAACCTAACTCAGCAGTTCAGTTATACTAGTTGTTCTGTCCTGTAATTACCTATCTATGTACAGTTCATCAATACATTTTCAAATGTAAAGTTCAAAATCGGCAAATTTATATGTATGTTGCATTTTCTTTTACCTCAACAGTGACACCTTGTTCCAATATCAGTTCAACAAGTATAAGATGGCCTTCTCACTTCCTCTTCCACATGGAGGCAAACAGTCAGAAGACCTGAACATCCCAACCACTCTGTCTATTCCCTTTATAGGTTTACCAAACGTAGGCCTATATATTCCTGCTAAAAATTATCCACTACCATCATTCACTATACCGCCTTCTTTGGATTTTACTCTTCCTCTTCTCGGTCTGGCTGAGGCATCCACCAAGATAAACAGCAACTTCTATAGCTGGGAAGGCTCCATCTCTGGGGGCAACAACACTGTCAGTGTCCCAAGCTACATTGTACAGTATAAATCTTTGGCACAATCACCTTTCAACCTACTGTCCTACAAGCTTGAAGGTAACATCTTTTTAAAATACTAATTCTTAATAGTAAATCAAAAATGGTGTGGGCTTTTGTTACATTGGCTAAGACAATGAGGCATAATGGATATTCAAAGAATTCTTGATAAGATGAGAGTCTGGAGCACAGAGTTATAGTAGGAGCTTTTAATAAGGTGCAGCAACTAACATTTTTTGGCATTAAGCATGTATTTATCAGAACTTATTCTACATCTTTGCCTGTGCTGTAACAGATACCAATAATATTATCTTTTCTGTCTATCTGTATTAAGGAATCGGAATGATGTCAGGAACAGAAGACGACAATCTCAAGTATCTTCTGAATAGTTCCTTCAGCCATAGCCTCATTGACACAAGTATCAGTGTCTTAGAAACATTAAGGGTAACTAATAAATTAAATGCAAGAGCTAACTATAAGATTGAAGCCTCTAGTTCAGTAGGCCTACAAGCCTTTCTCTACTATTCTGCTCAGTCAACCTCAACTCTAGATTCAGATGAAGTCTCAGGAGATGGCGCTGTGGATGGATCACTTAAAATTGGTTCATTCTACACCAACGCCTCCTACACCCACAACTACAATGTGCATTCACTAGATAGAGAAGGAAGAGGAGAGTCCACCCTACACTTTAACTCACCATTCATCAAAGTTCACAACATGATCTATGGAACCTACACAAACTCTGTGTTGAACATTGTTTCCAAAACCAATACCCAGGATGATGCCCTCAAGCATTTAGCAGAGCTCAAATATAAAGATGCACAACTGACTCTGAAGCTTAATGCTATTGCCACTGCCATGGGCAAATCACTTAGTAACAAGGTTGAGCTTGGTGTGTCCAGTCACATGGCCATCCTCAGAATTGAGTCACAGGCAGATGATGATATACATAGGGCATACTCACTTATAACAGGATCCCTGGATTCAGATGGGCTTAAGGTAAACTCTGATGGTTCCCTCACCTTTGACACAGGTTGTGGATTACACAAAGCTTCTGTTATGGCTGACAGACATGGTCTGAATACAAGTGGAACTAACAGCTTTCAGTGCAGCCCTATCACAGTAGAGAATATCTTCCATGGCGCTATAGACAACAATGGAGCCTCCCTGTCCTCCAGGACAAAAGCAATGGCTGAGGAGAGCAGAGGAGAACTGAACATTGAGGGTAAAATCACAGCTGCAGAAGCTTCTTTGAATGGTATTGTCAAGGCCAATGCATATGATACAGCCACAAGAAACAACATGGATATTGTTCTAAACCGAAGGGCTCTGACCTTTACTAGCTATAGCATTGGAACATTGAAGCAGATGAATACAGAAAATAGCCACACGCTGATCCTCACTCTGTGGACCCTAGCCCTTCACTCCAAGACTAACAACGTTATCTGTGAAGATATTTACTATAAGCAAGACACCAAGGTTAATATGAAACCATTTGTAATGTCATTTGATATGACAAATTATCTCAAGTTTTATGATGTCACTTTGAACAATGAAGGCCACATGAAGCTCGAGCCAGTTAAGGTTGACCTTAGTGGAAGTATGAAGGGATCTTATGGAGAAGAACACAACATTAAACATATCTATGAACTCAAGTATGATGATATGGCTGGCACAATGAAATACAGTACGTTTGGAAATGTAATGGATGCCCAGCTAAGTCACAACTGTGAACTTGAATTTGCTGGATTTTCCTCCAAGTCAAACTGTGAGGCACAGATAAATTCTGAACCTCTATCTTTTGAAAGTACTATTCGCACCATGGCACTGCCTTTTAGCCTCACGATCGATGTGCTTGTCAACAGTGATGGTGAAATTAATATATATGGGAGGCACACTGGACAGCTGTACAGCAAGTTGTTAATTAAAGCGGAGCCCCTAGCTGTTGCATACTCGCATGACAGTCGGGTATCAATCACACATATGCTTCCGAATGGGGATTTTTCCACCAATTTAGACAACAAATTTGATGGCCTCCTGACCCCAAGTGACCAATCTCTCACCTGGAAAGTGAAATCTAAACTAAACAATCATGCTTACAACCAGGACGTTGGTACTTACAATAATCCTGAGAAGATTGGATTTGAGTTGTCAGGAATAATGTTAACGGACATTTTCAGCAAAATGAGCGAAGATAAGATTTCAGATATACAAGAATTTAGTATGGCTGGTTTTCTCATTTATGACAAGAACAGTGACTGTCATATCATTTACATCCCATTCATTGAGAGCTTTCCTGTTGCTTTTGAGCAGCTGAAGAATACATTTGTGCAAGCCTTAGAATCACTTCAACAGTTCATCAACAGTTTAGACTTTAATCAGCTAATCACAGACTTTAGAGCCAAGTTGGATCAGCTACCAATGCAAGTGGGTGACTTCATGCGAGTCACAGGCATAGAGAACAAAGTGAATCAAGTAAAAGCAAAACTGGATTATTTGATCAATGAATTTGCTGTAACAATGGATGACTTTGAGGTCGCAATGAACAACTTGAGAAAGAACATGGAAAATATTGTAATGAACATTGCCACCAAAATTAGTGAACTCATCCTTACAGTCAAAGACTATGTTAAGACCAGACACTTTGCTGACAAGATAACAAATATACTTTCACAACTTGGAAATAAGCTTTGGGAATTAAATGAAAAGTATCAGATCAAGCAGTCACTTGTCAAAGCACTTGATGCCATCGAGGACATTATTGGACAGATTGACTTACAGAAGCTCACAGAGGGCAATGCCACATGGCAGCGAGAACTTGATTCTAAATATGGAATCTTGGGGAAAATCAAAGACAAACTGTCCAAAATGAAACATGCCACTGAGAACTTTGACATCCACACGTTTTTCCAAAATATAAAGGATTACCTTCTCTCAAGTGATTTGATCATGTATGTTGAGCAGCTATCATATAAAACCCCCTCTTCGGAGATAGAGAAAGTGATGGAATCTATAAATGATGTTATTGTCAGCTGGATTGATGAATATGAAATCCCCAACAAAATCAATACAATGTATTCTTACATTAGGGATCTAATTGTAAAATATGGTCTTGATGATAAATTCAAAGAATTAATGGATCAGGTAGTGATTCTCATTGAGGAATTCAAGATTGAAGAGACTGTGCAGTCAATGGTAGATGCTCTGAAATTTCTTGACTTTGAATTTGTGTATGATAAAATTATGCAACTTCTACACAGCCTGAAAGGACAGCTAAGAGGAACTGAGTTTACGAAAAGCATTAATGACCTCAATAAACAAATTTCTTCAATGCTTAAGTCAATGAAGGAATTTGACTACAGTGCATTCATTGATGAGACCAACAAGAAGTTTGCTGAAGTAGGAAACTATATCAATGAGCAGATTAAAATGTATGAGATTGTGCAAAAAATTGAGGCAGTTAGGAAATTTTTCAGAGAGATCCAAAGTACCATCTTTGCATATTTGGATGAACTCAAAAACACAAAGGTTGCTGACGCTCTAAAGAAGCTGAAAAATGTGATTGACAATACATTTTATAATGACATCAAGATGAAAATGCAGGACATCCTTGAGGACATGCGTCAAAGAATCCTTGACATGGATATCAGAAATGAAATGTACATTTACCTCGAAAGAGCAAGTGAATCCTACAGCAATGTGACTGCCTACATTTCTACACAGTTTAACCAACTGATTGAGAAGATCAGAGAAGTGGCCAGCCAATACGAGTTCATTACCCAGATGCAGCAAACTATAGATGGAGTTCTGGATGCACTTGAAAGAGCTGAGATTGCAGTTCCCACTTTTACTGTACCTTTCACTAACCTTGTCATTCCAGCATTTACAATCAACCTGAACAAACTGCAGGAAATAAGAATCCCAGCTCAAATTTCAGTCCCTGAGGTCACCGTCCTCAACTCCTACAAAATTCCTGCTTTCACCATAGACTTTGATGAAATCAAAGCAGATATAGTTGCAATCATAGATGACATCAGAGAATTTGAGATTCAAATGCCTGACCCTGAGGTATTCTTTGGTGATCTTAAAGTTGTCTATTTTCCTAAAGTACCAGATCTCACCTTCACAGAAATAAGTCTCTCAGAAATCAAATTTCCAGTCCTCAGCATTACCAAATTAAATCAGAAGGGTTTTGAAATCACAATGCTTCCAATTCCAGAGATAAAATTACCTGATGTTCCCAGTGACATTTGTATCCCAGCTTTCGGTAAACTCCATGGAGAATTTAGAGTGAACTCCCCACAGTACACTCTTGCAACTATAGGAAAGATTGACAACTCAACATCTACACCAAAAAACCCACAGTTTACTGCCACTATTACTTCTCGTGCCAAATCAGCCATCAAGCCCCTCGAATACACCTTTGAAGCCACTGCTCAGTTGGAAACTCCCAGAATGAAGAAGTTGCTCTTCACAGAAACAATTAAAGCTACGCATGTGGCCTTCTCCATTGATCACGAAGGATCCCTAACACTCACCGGCTCATCTACTGAGGCTGCTGTTAAGACTACTACCAAGGCCACAACCCAAATGTACACAGCAGACTTGGTCAACAAAATGACTCTTACATTGAAGAATGGAATCTCTGCAACCATAGACACAACCTACAACCACAACTTGGACATCCTATCAATTGAAACTTCTAGTCAGGCATCAATAAAACAGAATGTAGCAGCCATCATGGAATTAAGCAGAATTACTATGACCGGTGAAACCTCTGGTAATGGAAAGTGGTCCATTCAAGACTACTCTGATGAAGGTACACACAATAGCAATGTAAAATTAAACATTGATGTTAGCACTGCCACGTTAACTTTTGTAGGACAAACAGACTGTAAGGCTATGAAAACAAAGCAAATATTAACTGCTGAATCAGTGATCTTAAACCACATCACAGTTGAAGCAAGATGTGAAACTGAAGTTCCATTTGTCAAGAAGAGTGTTATGGTTTTAAATGGAGAGACTGATATTGGGAACTTGAAAGTTGCAGTGACAGCCTCTCATAATGCTGAATTCACTGAAAGTCTGACTGGATTCATTGCAAACTCGCTGGAATTCATGACCCATCCATTTGAGACTGTACTTGATGTTAAGAATAAAGTAAACTTAAAGATGTTCTTTCCCCTGAAACTTACCGGTAAGGTGGATCTCCAGCATGATTATGGTGTTACACTAAATTCTGAGAAGCAGCATGCTTGTTGGTTTGCTTTGGCAAGATTCAACCAGTACAAGTATAACCACAATTTCACTGCAGAAAACAATGAAATGGACTTCCTCCTCCATTCATCAGCTTCTGGAGAGGCTAATTTGGACTTTTTGACTGTTCCTCTATCTATCCCAGAGATAGCTGTGCCTTATCTTAAAATTAAAACCCCTGAGATCAGAGGCCTCTCACTTTGGAAAAATGCTGGATTCAAAACCTTGCTTACCACTCCTCAACAGTCATTTGATATGAACCTGAACCTTCATTACTACAAGAACCCTGATACACATGGCTTTGAATTACACCTTGAACCAATTTACAGTGCAATAAATGACAATGCCAACATCATCAATGCACAATTTGAACAAAGTAGAGACATAGTAGTTGCACTTCTAAAAGATTCTTACAACCAAGCAAAGTCACAGTACATCAAACACGAAATAGACACTTCTAGTTTGCCCCCTAGGATCTTCGCTGTCCCTGGATACAAAATACCATTATTCAATGTTAAAGTTTCTGCTTTCAGGGCTGAGATGCCAGCCTTTAGCTACTTTTTTCCCAAGGAGGTTAGTACACCAAGCTTTAAGATTCCAGCACTGGGTTTCTCTGTGCCATCCTATACCCTTGTGCTACCGTCTTTGGAATTACCCGTAATCTATGTTCCAGAAATGTTGAGTGAAATAAAGCTGCCCACTTTCACACTTCCAGCCATTCAAAACAACATTTTGATCCCAGCCATGGGAAACATCACTTGTGATTTCTCCTTCAAATCTACTGTGATTTCCTTAAGTACTAATGCTGGCCTTTACAATGTGACTGACATTGTTGCTCAGTTCAGTGCTTCCTCAACATCTATCTTTGAAATTTTGAATGGAAAAATTGATGGTACCACCAGTTTGACAAAGAAGAGAGGAATAAAACTGTCCACCTCTGTTTCCCTGGAGCATAACAATGTGGAGGCAAACCATGAATGTGCTGTCAGTCTCACCGAAAAGAGCACAGAAGTCTCTGTGGCCAACAATGCAAAAATCAATCTACCCTCTCTCAATCTAGAATTGAATCAGGAATTCACAGGAAATACCAAGACCAAGCCAAATGCTGCTTTCAAGAAAAAAATAAAATACATGTTTAACATTCCTCTGATTGAGTCTGTAGGCAAAGGAAACCTTGATATGAACTGGGCACTGGAAGTACTTTCTTCCTGTGTGTCACTGGAGACCTCTACCCAAGGAAAGTCAGACATATTGATAATGGACAGTTTTAACCTTGCTGGAGATCTAGAAAATGAGGCCAGTTTCTGCCTTAATGCCAACAGACTGCGTTCAACTGTCAGGACTGCCTTAAACTCAAACATTGACAAACAGGGGATAAAAAAACAAAACTCAAACAATAACATCCTCCAGTTTAATGTGAATAAGAACTTAGCTCTTGAGGTCTCCTTGCGGCGGATGTTTGCAACAGTTGATTACACCAGCAATAACAATGTCACTTTTGCATCTTTCAACACAAATGGAAAGTACATTGTTAAAGGAGAACTAGACTTTGTTCCTTTAACAACCTTTAAGACTACATTAAACATTGATGCAAGTCAGCCAAGTAGTTTGGGTCATGCTGGACTCATTCAGAGCATCAACCTTGCCATCAACTCAGAGAAGCAATCTTTCACCTGGAGTAGTAATGAACAGCTGGCATCTCTCATGCATGCTTGTGATTTACTCCTGTCCAATGATGACTCTGAAGCACGCATGGACTTGACTGGATCAGTGGAAGGCCACCTAGCTTTCGTGAAGTTAGTTAAGCTTCCTGTATATCAGAAGACCCTCTGGGATGTTCTGAAGTGTGGTCAAGTCACAAATATAGACAATTTACAATTCCTTAACATATCTTCCAGCATTGTTTACACAAAGACAGTGGGTGGCCAGAAGTATACAATACCATTTAAACTGTTTGAAAACAGCATAACTTTTAGCATACCTGAGATTAGCATTACAGTGCCTTCTTGGGTAAAAGACATTCCTCACTCTATAAGGAACATAGACCTGCGATTTGAAAACCCAGATGTCCCTAATTATCTTACCTTTCCCCCTGCAATCTCAGTTCCAGCATTTGATGTGCCATTTACCAACTTGCACCTGGAACCTTTTACAATTGATCCTCAGAACCTTAACATCCCTAATGTGATCACCACTGCAGCCTTTGAAATCATGCTGCCTGGCTTGCCAATAATGTCAGTACCCAGTTACAATATTGACACGACGTATCTAGAGGGGAGAATATCATTCCTCTCATTTAAGATGCCACAATATGAAATCACAGTCTCATCTTTAACACTACCAGAATCCTTTAGCATTGGAAAGCACACTATCAGCCTAAATGAAATCACAAACCATATTTTAAATTTTGAACTATCAACCATCATCATCCCAGAGCAAAAGATTGAAATCCCTGAATTTGCCTTACATCTCCCTTCAAGTGTATTTATTCCAGCTTTTGGAACCCTCAGTGTAACTATGAAGGTTTCCTCTCCTATTTATAATGTGTCAACTTCTGCCAACCTGGAGAAAAACGACTCTAGTTTTTTAACTTCACTACATTCCATCTGTACTTCTACCATGATATTCTTGGAATATGACCTCTCTGGTAAGACAGGCACACACTCTATTTGATAAGGCATTTGTGTGTTAATTACTAAATCTAACACATTATTATATATGCAATATTTTATTATTTATTATTTTATCATTTATTGTCTTTTTATTATGTGTATCCCCTCAGCCAGTTCAACCCTTGAATTTGATAATGGACTAATCAATGTAAATGGGAAGTGCAATTTGATTCACAGTGATGTAAATGTCAACTGGCAACATGTTTCAGCACAAAACCTGAGGTAAGAGTATACAGCATATTTTGTGCTTCTTCTTTTTAATTAGATTTGAAATTATTTGCTTAAATAAATTTCTATGAAAACCCAGTGAAAGAAAAAAACAAAATGTAGTTAGTCATTCTACGAAATAATGCTTATGGCTTGTCAAAATTTTGACTTCTTATCTCATAATCTTATCTCATGACTTTTTATGTTTTGTTTCACCCAATGTGTCAAAATTTTGACTTACCATAAGCATAAGCATTTTAGAACAACATTACCAACTTTTTATCTTTTTGTTGTCTTACTGGTGGAAATGGGCTTTCATACATCTAAATTTCAAAACAGACATATTCGGTGGCAACCCAAGAAATCTTTCTTAGGGGTGGCTGGAGCCACTGAAAACCAAAAGGCATAACTGAAATTTACCATTTTGTAAATGCTGTTGAAGTATATAGGCTAGAGATAGAAAACTTTTAAGATGAGAGTTAAGAAATAGTGATTTACTTTACATTTAATGGGACTACGGGTGGAAATTAGCAAAGCTGCTATAACCTGGCTCAAGACATCTTTTCTTGTTTCTACAAGATTAATGTTTATTTGTGCATTGTCCCGTTTTAAATAAATAAATTTCCAATTTCCAAATTCCAATAACATTACTAATTATCTGATGTTAAAGTTAACATTTTGAGTTCCACAGTAATTGTGTTTAAATTTGTTACGTAGCTATTCATGCTAGGGGATTCATTGTTCTTCAGATAGGCTGGTTGTCCTTTTCCTTGAAACAACAAATGTGCAGCTTGAATTTGAAGAAGTAAATCAATTGTGAGGAACAAAACATGTATTGGAAACAAGCTTTCTCAAGTTCAGGGGAGGCTCGTGGATACCCATAAAACATGCCATGCTAGTTGTTCCCTCGCCAGAATTTAACCTAAATTTGTAGCATTATTAAAAGCCACCTTTCTGACATATTAAGTCATACATAGGTACCAACCATGTCAGTAGAGTTTGTCTAGTTTCACGAAATACCACTACTTTGCACTTGGATTGATAGGATAGCTATTACCGCATTACCACTCCCACCTGCTGGACTTGAGAAGGGTCAGTCCTGATTTGCATGTAGCCCTGCAATACCAAATTGGATTGCAATCGGATTTGAAGTCAAGAAAAAGACAATTGTATATGTGTATTAAATTGTATCTTTTTTTTATTTCTTTTTTTCCTTCCCAAAGGTTGCCTTTTGCATATTTGAATGGTTCTCAAAAGTTCTCGCTCTAGGAAATATCTCTACTAACAGCTGTTTCTCTCTTTTAAAGGGAGTCTCATCATAGTATCAATGTTGACATTATCAGTCAAACATTTGCTGATGTGAGCTTTCACTTTGCTTACCGCAAAGACGGCATCACGGTATCTATGTCTTGTCCATCATCTGGTTTCCTCGGAATGCAGTTTCAGCAGAGGTCTCCATCACAGTTGTATGGAAAACTGTTTGGTCGCTACCTGGTAAGACATTCTTTAAGCTGCATATTGTTGTCAACAGCAAAGCATTTTTATATCTACAAATGTATTGGTGCTATACATAGTGCAACAGGACCATGTTTTAATAATGATCTTTCTCAATTTCTTCCCTCAACTTCAGTCTACTCCTGAAAGGGATACTGATATTTTCACTGCCAAAGTCACACTGAGAAACTCTAAGAAGTTGGTCTTACAGATGTCATGGAATTGGGACTTTCTTCATGATGTAATTGAGGGTACCAAGGACAGGATTCCTGTTATGACTGATACTGTGCTCAAGTTCATTAACAAGTATCACACCATCCACTTTGGCTTTGATCTCAACCGTGGTGGCATGAAGCTGAAAAACACAGTTTCTAATGTCATAGAGAGAGCCTATCATGAAGTGCCTTTGTCTTTTAACACACTGCAGAATTCAATCAAACACGTCAGTGATCAAGTAAAAGACATGTACAGGACAGCATCTGATGGCTTGATGTCCATGAGTGTGCAGGATGTTATAGACAGGTTGGCTCACGAGGCAAGACAAGTCTTGAAACACATTGGAGACAAGATTTATGTCTTGCTTGGTGCGGTCACACAGTTTTTGAGTGACACAAAGTTTACATTACCTGAATCTGAAGAAAAACTCTCTAGCCTAGAGATGTTCCAGCGAGCATGTCAGTCTGTATCAAAAGCCACTGACAGGGCAGTTCAAAGGTTTGCCAGCCTTGCAAAGAAAACTTCTAGATACATTAGGGGAATAACGTTCACTGTACCTGGAACTGATGTTGTTGTCAATGGAAACAAGATCATGGATAAACTGATGTCTTCTGTCAGATCTGCATTTGATCAGCTAAGACATTCAGTGAGCAGGGGGTTCAGTTGGCTTCACAAAACATTTAATGGCCTCCTCCAGGTGATTACTGAAAATGCAGAGAATTTCATCACATACCTTCAAGATGAAAATGTTGAAATTGCCTCTCAAGTTGATGCTATCTATGCAAAGGTTCTGCAGTCCTCAAACCAACATACTAATGAGGTCAAGAGATATGTGGCTGATTATAAAGACCTCACCAAACTGAGGATTCAAGAGGCTTATAATGCTTTAAGTATGGTGCGGGTAAATAACGATGCCAAGGAGTTTATCAGTATTTTGCAGTCCGATCTCTACAGAGGGCTTAATGAAACTGTAGATCTATTGAGAAGGACATCCCTGTGCACAGCACCGTACATTAGAGTGAGCAGTGAAAGGTTGGACTTTGAAATTCCTTTACCCTTTCTTTGGAAGTCTTTTAGCAAATGGCCAATGCAATCCAGTCCGTGAGTCATGGCTTTCTTGTGGGTTGATAATGGCTGACTAAATGTATGTCTGTGTGAAAAAATAACTTTTGGTTGATGTCAAAAACTGTGTTTAAGGTTGTTTTAACTCATGTAAAGTATATACAAGTTATACTTACATGAGATTTTGTTAAATCTGACAATTTAAGCAATTTTGGCCTGCCAATGTTTTGCATGCATTGAAGATGGTGTTCAGTTAAACAATACTAATTACAGATGTCATTCTGTGCCAACATTTTCAACAAATCAATGGGCATGAAACCTTTGGATGTCTATGACAGAATCAGGACCCAGTGGCAGAGTGACAAGGGGTGGTGGGGGTGTTCTGGGGCTACAACACCTAATGTTTTCTCAAAAGCCCTGTATCTTTTGTGTTATTAAAATACCTTTACCTTTGAGTCATTTCCCCCTTCGACTGGACCTCAGTAGAAGTTATTATTTTGTTTAATTCTGCCAAAACAGTATTAAAAACTGACTTGTGTTGCATGGTTTAAAGGTCTGTCAATGCTACAATAAATAGGCCTATCAAAACATAGCCATTGTGTTTTGTTGTCTACCCCTACTTACATTTCATCAGAGTGACCATGGTTACAATCATAGATAAAATTTGTCAGTTGTCTTGTGCCATACTGTGCCACAGCAACAGTAAAATGATATGGTTATGTGTGCCTTAATAAAAGGATTGAAGCAGATATTCAAAGTAACACAAAGGTTACTTTTCATGTCAAGTAATTATCTTTGTATGCAGTAATTGGTCAAATAATTCAATTACTTTAAACTAGTAACTGTAACTAATTACTAATTTGCTATAACTAGCACAAAACTGCGACACTGTAATATGTGGTAACAAGTGTAGCACCTGTGGAAACATGTTACCACATGTTGTAACATGCCACAAATACTGCACATTTTCAAAGTTTCACCATAACATTTTCAACAAGTGCTGTAATGTGAGTACTAACAAACACAGGTTAAGCAGTATTTATAAATGATAAATTACATTAATACATACAGAATATGTATAAAGGCAATACATACACTACAAAGGTGGTAGGCTTACAAAAGTCTGTTTTTGACAGAATAAGTTAATAAGTAGGCAGCATGGTGGTGCAGTGGTTAGCATTGTCACCTCACAGCAAGAGGGTTCCTGGTTTGAACCCAGGGTGGGGGAGCCCCTCTGTGTAGAGTTTGCATGTTCTCCCTGTGTCAGCATGGGTTTTCTCTGGGTACTTTGGTTTCTCCCACAGCCCAAAGACATGCATGTTAGGTTAGTTGGTGACTCTAAATTGGCTGTAGGTGTGAATCTTAGTGTGAATGGTTCTGTCTCTATGTGTCAGCCCTGTGATAGTCTGGCAACTTGTCCCAGGTGTACCCCGCCTCTTGCCCAAAAATATATATATTGTACACATTTCAGGACAGTAGACCCACAGATAGCCAGGTGTGCCATACAACAATCAAATAGCCTAATGATACAATTAAAAATGAACAGTAATCAACATGGTGGAATGAATGAGGAGATAGTAAAAATTATATATAGAGAGAGGCAATGATAAGTTTGATTTAAAAACGAGTTTTAAATCAAATTCTTCATTTAAACCAGGTGGAGACATGGTATTGAGTGAGTGGATGCAAAAACATCGATATTCTACGGATCGACTTGGAAATCATCCTACAACGTGCACAAAATTTCATAAAAATTGGCCTTGGAGGAGCTAAATTGGGGAAAAAAGTGTTGCTTTAATAATTTAAAAAAGATATTTCTGTTGGACACAGCATCTTCCAAAGAATCTATGGACACAAGAGATTTCAGTCTATGGCGCACGGTTCAACAACACAATGAAACATCTCCACAACATGCTTGGATCACTGATAATGAGTGTGGTTCATTTAATTTGTGCCCTGGCCAGTTCACATGTTAATCTCATTCTAAATTATTTGGCATTAAGCAAATTAAACAAGCATTATCTTTTGTTTATACTGCACACTTTTCTGACATTTAGCAGGCATCCAGAGCAATCAAATCACTAAATTCAAATGGTATTAATATCACATTCTTAATCTGGCACCCAGATTCACCATTGTAGCCTTGAAGAAACAATTCTGGTTTTGACACACACTTTCTCATGAGACATAGTGCATGTTCACAGCCAGTGTGACTCTTAACATTGGCAAAAGAAGCTATCTGGCAAACTCTGCCATTTGATATTCTAACCAGAGTGTTATTCTTCTTACTATAAGTGCTCTTCTGTAGTCAATGCTCAGAAATATTTGTGAGTTAACTACTGCTTTGTAGTAAAACATAGCCTGATCTCTGACAGGGTATCAGAGCCCCAGACTGCGATCACATGGTCACATTTTGCAATTATTTTTTGAGTCAGCGTGAGTATATCTTTCAACTACTCGCTCGTGTGCGGCCCGCAAATTTGCAGCCATTTTTTTTTTCATGTTGTCAATTGAGGGAGTGAGTCTGCCAGTGTAGGAGGAAAGTCCGGGAGTGAGTGATTAGTTAACCGTGAAGATCACATCATCTACACTCATAAGTAGGCTCGTTCTAGATGAACTGCGCCTCGCCTGGAGAGTGGACAAGAGCAGGTGGCTGCAGCAGAAGGCAGTGACAACAAGCTGCGGTCAAGTCAGAGGCTAAATCGTAATTTCCACCCTCTGGACTTGCAGACTGAGCCCTCACGTCACACTATGTACAACTTCAGTTGTATTTACTGTCATCACGTAAAGTTTGAGGGCAGAGACTGCAGAAATAAACAGCCCTCAAGACTGTTTTACTTGTTGCCGTGGAAACATTCAACTATTGCTGCTATCATATTCATGACATATAAGTTGATGAATACTGCCTACTCATCTGTTCCTGCAGATAATAAAATATAAAACTGATGTATAGCCTTTTTTGTGACTGAACAAAAATGCATTCATATATTTCTAGCCTATATAAAAGGCTACACCAGTTCAAAAACAGAAATGTTTGTAAGTAAGGACAGGACTATAATAAATTGGGCAGTACTTACATACATTACAATCATTATAATATTATCAAAGGTCAAAGGTTTTTTATTTGTCATCTCTTAGTCCTGAGTACAAAAGAAACAAAATAGTGTACTCCTATGTTAAAAAGCAGTGCAAAAACAGGGCATACGATATAAATATAAGAAATCACACATAATAAAAAATAAATAGATAAAAACAGCAGCAGCAACTATGGGTGTGCAAAAGTGAAATAAGTGTGCAGAACGGTCAGAGTTTTTAGCAGCGGGTTAGTTCAGGTGTACAGTTTGTTCAGTGTGTGAGTATCCATTTCAGTGTTCAGTGCTCTCACAGCCTGGGGGAAAAAGCTGTTTAGGAATCTGGTGGTCTTACAGCGGATACTCCTGAGTCTTTTTCCAGATGGCAGCAGGGAAAACACGCTGTGAGAAGGGTGATGAGTGTCCTTGACGACTGCCGCTGCTCTGCAAATGCAGCGCTTTCTGTACGTGTCCAGCAGCGATGGAAGGGGGGCGCCTATAATCTTGCTGGCCATTTTCACCACCCTGTTCAGCTGACGCCTCTCGTTCTCCGTACAGCTGCCAAACCAGGAGGTGAGGTTGTACGTCAGGATACTCTCCACGGTGCCCCGGTAGAAGGTGGTCAGGTGGATGGTAGGGAGACCAGCCTTCCTGAGTTTCCTGAGCGGGTGAAGTCGCTGCTGGGCTTTCTTGGCGATGGCAGCAGTGTTGGTGGTGAAGGATAGATCCCCTGCCAGATGGACTCCCAGAAACCTAACACTGCTGACCCTTTCCACTGCAGCACCGTTGATGATCAGAGGGCAATGGTCCAGCCTGCTGGTTTTTCTGTCCTTCACCATCTCTTTTGTCTTGCTCACGTTAAGGAGGAGGTTGTGAGACCTGCACCACTATGTCAACTGCTCCATCTCCATCCTGTATGCAGCCTCATCCTCGTCCTTGATGAGTCCCACCACTGTAGTGTCATCTGCATACTTAATGATCTTGTTTGTAGTATGGGAGGCAGTGCAGTCATGTGTGAGAAGGCTGAACAACAGGGGACTCAAGACACAGCCCTGGGGGGACCCTGTGTTCGCCGTGATGGAGCTGGATGTTCTTTTCCCCATCCTGACTGTCTGCTGTTGCTGTGTCAGGAAGCTGAGGACCCAGTTGCAGGTACCAGTGTTCATGTCCAGTGACCTCAGCTTCTCCACGAGCTGTTGTGGGATGATGGTATTAAAGGGAAATTTCGGTTTATTTCAACCTGTCTCCTATCGTCCTAAATTTGTTTCAAGTGACTAGTGACATAAAAATAATAGTTAGCATGTTAGCCGTTAGCCTAGATACAGCCAGGGCACATTAGTAGCGTCAGACCTGTTAAAACCTAAGTGAACGGGCATACCTTCAAGTGCAAAGTTAGTCCACTAAACAAGCTTTTTTCCACAAAGACCGCCCCATATCGTTAGGATAAATGTCAGAGAACATATAGAAAACGACATGTAAACGTGTTGTCTTACCTTACCGGTGTGGTGCCATGTTTGTTTATGCCTCTAGCTCTGCTTTCCAAAGCGCGGCTGAAATATATCTCGCCAGCTCTAGATAAAGCCCAGCTGGATACTACTCCAGGTGGAGGTGTTTCGTCCTCGGTCACATCCAGACCTTGAAAATAAGGCTGCAACCGGTCCCATTCCTTGCAACAGAGGCATTCCTCACAGGTACACCACCAATCTCCAGAGCTACGCAGCTTTGCAGCAGCCATTCGTCCTCTAGCTGTTGCGCCTCTCTCTCTCCTCCTCCTCCGTTCTTCGATTTCACGAAGCTCTTCGTCAGTGTATCCTTCCAGCTGTTGCTGCTTGTTCAGGCACGCTATGAGATCGCTGTTTGTTCTCGCGATATTTCGGCCATGCTTTGGAAAGCAGAGCTAGATGGTAAACAAACATGGCAGCACACCAGTAAGGTAAGACAACACGTTTACATGTCGTTTTCTATATGTTCTCTGACATTTATCCTAACGATATGAGGCGGTCTTTGTGGAAAAAAAGCTTGTTTAGTGGACTAACTTTGCACTTGAAGGTATGCCCATTCACTTAGGTTTTAACAGATCTGATGCTACTAATGCGCCCTGGCTGTATCTAGGCTAACGGCTAACATGCTAACTATTATTTTTATGTCACTAGTCACTTGAAACAAATTTAGGACGATAGGAGACAGGTTGAAATAAACCGAAATTTCCCTTTAAATGCGGAGCTGAAGTCGATGAAGAGGACTCTGGCGTGTTTCTGCCCTCCAGGTGGGACAGAATAGAGTGGAGTGTGGAGGTGATGGCATCCTCCGTGGAACAGTTTGCCTTGTAGACAAACTGTAGGGGGTCCAGGTTGGCAGGGAGGCAGGATTTTATGTGCTGCATGATGAGCTGCTCGAAATATTTCATCAACACTAGTGTGAGGGCCACAGGGCGGTAGTCATTCAGGCTGGCTGGGTTATGATTCTTTGGCACGGGGATGATGGTGGCTTTTTTGAGGCATGCTGGCACCACCGCCTGGCT